AGGGAAAGAAGAGTTGAAATTACCTATATTTGCAGATAACATGATGGTCTACATAGAAGACCCAAAATATCCATGAAAATAATTTCTCAAAGTAATAAATGAATATAGTAAATGGCAGGGTAAAACATCAACATCCCAAATCTATAGCATTTCTATGGATGAACAACAAAGTGACCGAGGTAGAACTGAAGAAAGTATTCCATTTTACCTTAGCCACAAAAAGTATTACACCCAGGGATAAAGTACATAACCTAGGAACTCAAAGACTTTACTATAAAAACCTTAAAAAAGATATAAAAAATACACAAAAAAGTGAAAGGACATCCAATGTTCCTGGATTGGAAGAATTAATATAATCAAAATGACAATTTATCCCAAATTTATCTACATGTTTAATGCAATTACAATCAAATTACCAGAGACACTCTTTACAGATTTAGAAAAGACTATCATAGAATTTGTCTAGAATCATAAAAGACCACATATTGCCAAAGTAATTATGTGCAAGAAGAGAGGAGTGGGCGGCATCTCACTCCCTGACCTCAAAATATATGATAAAGTTGTAATAATGAAAACAGCATGGTACTTGCATACACACACACACACACACACACACAAAGCCAAGAAGACCAATGAAACAGAAAAGAGATCCCAGAAATAAACCATAATTTACAACCAACCTATTTTTGACAAAAGGCGCTCGTCAATCAGTGGGAAAAGAAAAACTTCTTGAGCAAATGGTGCTGAAAAAACTGGGTATCCACCTACAGAAAGATGAAACTGGATCTGCATCTTCTACCATTAACAAAAATCAACTTGAAGTGGATCAAAGATCTATCATAGATCTAAACCTAAGACCTCAAACTATAAATCTATTGGTGGAAAATCCTGAGGAAACTCTTAGATCATTGTGTAGGCAAAGACTTCTTAAATAAAATTCCCAAAGTAAAGGCAGTAATCCCAAAAATAGACAAGTGGGATTACGTCAGATTAAGACATTTCTCCATAGCAAAAGACACAATAATTAGTGTAAATCAACAACCATCAGATGGGAGAATATTTTTTGTAAATTATGCCTAAGGTAAGGGACTGATATCCAGAATACACATAGAACTCAAGCAGCTTAACCTCCCTATCCCTGATAAATGATTAACCCAATTAAAAGTGGGAAAATGAGCTTAACAAAAAACTCTCTAAAAACCACACTACAGTGTTAATGTTCAAAACACCTCATGATAATCTCTGAGCCTCCTTTCCATGTCTCTGGAAATTTAACCATCATAGGATGAGGGAAGATACTGCACTCTTGGCCTTTCTGTTACTAGAGGAGAGCCCCAGGTGAGGTCTACCCATCCAAATGTGTATTATTTTTATAGGTGAAAACCTGAAGCCCACAAAGAAAAGGAATGACACCTATATCTCTGGAGGAGTCCGACTCGGCGAGGTCCCAGGATCTGTCTGAGCCTCCCGACCTTTGAGCTCCGCTTCTGGTCGGATCAACATGTTGGCAAGACCACTGTTGTGTGCCCCCCGACCTTGGAACAAAGCTTGGGTCAATTAGCATGTCAGCAAGGCTGTTTGCTATTTGCTCCAGAAACTGTGGCAGCCTTACTGGGAAGCGACCCTAGAAAATTGCAGATTCAGAGAAGACAGGAATGTAAACAAGCCTGGATATACAACAGACAAAGCAAGAGCCAGGGATACATCTTGAACAAGATCCAGGCCCTCACAACCCTTATCTGACTATCCCTTCTTTACTCACTTTTCACCCTACTCTCCATTTAACCACTCAAGTCCACATCAACTGTGATCAATCAAGATGGGTATTTCCATGTTTGAAGCTTAACAAAAGCTCTGTTGAAATCCCTTGCAAAACTCCTTGCCTGGTTTATGGGAGAGAAAGGTCAATACATCAGGCCCGTCTCTCTCACACATACAGACAAGACACAGAATAACTAACTAGGTTTTCTAGATCAATCATGGGAACTTTTAGGCAAATGATTACCAGACAGTAGAAATATAAACAGACACAAGACTGAAATGCACCTACCCTTTGACCCTGCTATCTTTTTCCATACATACACTAGAAGAGGTTTCCAACTGTGAGAGTCAGTGAACACTCCAAACTTAGCTTAGAGGGTGAAGACAATTATATTTTGGTGATCACAAGAGTTACCCAATTAATCATTTCCTTGTTAATAAATCAAAAAAAAAAACCACATTATTTTTCATGATTTAGGATGCACATGCAAAAAATAGATGCGGGTTGTATAATAGCAACAACTATAACAAAATAGCAGTTACTTATGAAGGTCATTGATAAAGTAACCCACGTGCGAATTTCTGCATTATTCCAGAAATGTCAACCCGGAATTTGATAATGAACCAGAATCATACCTCTCAGTCACCTGCATAGAGACCATTCCTCCCCCATCAGGTCCTGATATCCTGGTAACAGGACTCTTCTGAGAAAGCACAGGAACTTTCTCCCTCCCTTGGTGCCTACAGAGAATCGCAGAGCCTCATGGGAAATGTAGTCTCTCTGACTGTGACGTCATCAGTGCAGGACAGCGAGGGCGGCTCTTCCGGATTCTTTCTGCGCATGTGAAGCGCCACTCATTCCGCCATATTGGAGTTGAAAGGGCGGCTCTTCTGACAGTTCTGTGCAGGACATGGAGTGAAATTTGTTTCTGAAGGTGAGTTTGAGAGTGAAAAAAAGCTGTTGTGGTTCTTGAGGAACACTGGAATTTGCAAGGGACCACTTCTTGGTGGGAGCCGGAACGTGGTGGATGCCAGGTGGGGGAGGTGTGGCTCCTATTGGAGTTGAAAGGGCGGCTCTTCTGACAGTTCTGTGCAGGACATGGAGTGAAATTTGTTTCTGAAGGTGAGTTTGAGAGTGAAAAAAAGCTGTTGTGGTTCTTGAGGAACACTGGAATTTGCAAGGGACCACTTCTTGGTGGGAGCCGGAACGTGGTGGATGCCAGGTGGGGGAGGTGTGGCTCCTGACGGAAGGTGCAGCCCCGGGTTTGGGCCGTTCTCCGGATAGCGAGAGCTGAACGTGCAGGTCCAGGGCGGGAAAAGAGGTGAGCTGGGCTTTGCATTCAAAAATGGTTTGGTCAGAAGTGGGCTTGTGCTTTAGGTGTACAAAGGAGTTGCAGAATCTCCGGAATCTGGGTGGTCCAGTCCGAAATGACCACGGGGTGCGGAGGGAAGAGGGTGAGTGAGAGAGCTCCGTAGACAGCTGGAGCCTGGTGGGTCGGGCGGGAGGGGGGCAGTCAGCAGTGAGTTTGTTTTCCACCTCTGCCACAGGAGCCCATCGCTGCCCTGTATCTCACTCCGTTTACCTATCTGTAATAGCATATTTCCAATACTATTGAAACGCAGGTTCCTGTAGAAGTAACTGGATTTTTTGCAGAGAACAGCTTACTGAGGCAGTTGTGTTTGTGGATTGTCTTGGTTTGTTTAAAGAGGTGAAGCTTCTGGTTCCCTTCTGCACTTGTGTGGCCTGTCTAGCACTCCTGTGTAAGTTTAAAGAATTTTATGCAAAGACAAATCCCAGCCTTCAGGGACAGTGATTTCTCTTAGGGAGCTTGGAATACTTGATGATGGTACTGTTTTGTTTGGATTAAAGTCAGTGTTACAAAGTTAAAAGGAGGGCACCTTTTGCATCGGAATCTCACATGAAAGAATACCCCTATGACCTGACCTCTGTACTAGTGCTTCAGAGCTGAGGCAAGAGTCTGGAAAGGGAAAGATTTTTAGTTTTCCATGGCCCAAGTAATTACTGTTCCTACTTCCTCACGTGGACAAAATTTTAGTCATGTTACCTTCTCCTGAAGTAGTTAACCACTGGATGCCATTTGGAGGTTTGGTAGAATTTACAGAAGGGAGAAGGTAGTAAGTTGAGATGGATCAGCAAGACCATAATTAAGTAAAGACTCTGGTCCTTATTATTCCTTATTATTCCTTTTTGTTTTATTTTGGGGGGATTTATTTAGTTTCTCCTTTGTTTCAATTTCTTTTTTTTTTTTAACCTTACAGGCAAACTTCTGTTGAAAAATTTATCTCCACACTAAAAAAATAAGTTCACAATTAAGAAGTCATCTATTTGACTTGTTTTCTATTACCTGTAGCAGGTGGTAAGAGAGTCAAGAGACTATTAAAGAGACGGTTAACATTCCTTCCTATAAAGTTAACTAAATAAACCATGCAAAACCAGTCAATGCAACGATTTCCACTCCAAAGTAAACTTTGAGGTAAAGATATTAAGGCTTTCTAGTTGTTAAATCTTTAGTTCTATCCTTTCCTGAAAGTATAAGCCTTCCTATTACTTCTCTCACTATGAAAGCAACAGAACGCATTAAGCTCACTCAAGTTTCTATTTTACATTTGCAACATGAAAATTGAGCACTGCCCATTTCCAAATTTAGTGTCACCCTGACAGGTTTTAAAAGTGACAGTGCTGAGGCATGATAGTAGTAACACTGATTTTCTTTGAGAGCGTACATGACAAAACCAAATTACTTTGAAATGTCTCCCATCTTCTTTCTAGAAAAATTCTAAAAAATATGGAACGCTTCACGAATTTGTGTGTCATCCTTGCGCAGTGGCCATGCTAATCTTCTCTGTATCGTTCCAATTTTAGTATATGTGCTGCTGAAGCGAGCACTCCTTTGTTTCAATTTCTTTTTCTTTTTTTTTTTTGAGAGGTTTTCGCTATAGGGCGTGTGTGCTTGCCAGACAGACAGAGAGAGACATAGAGACAGAAAGCGAGAAATCACCCCCCAGGGGGGATGGTCACGCTGCAATCCCTTCTCCTCCATTCTCCTCTCGGGATCTTGGGCATGCACGCACACGCGCCCAGCGTGAGTTTTAAACCACCGGGTCCAGGACGCGAACCGCGGTCAACTACGTGGGAGTTCAGCAACATAGCTATTATGCTAACTGCCGTTCCCTTAAGGAAATGTTACTTAGTGGAGAGGGCTTTCATAGGAAAACAATACATCCCTAATATAGGTCTAGAGCATTAATTTTAGTGGCATCATGGTTTCAGAAAGGGAGCCTAGAAAATATAGGTAAAACAAAAATTCCACCAGAATAAGATATTCTAATAAATTAGAAATGGAAACCTCAGAGGTGACGGCTTAGGAGAACTCAAAGTAAATTGCCCCAAATATTGACTTTCATTAATGGTTTTCACCAATCCAGGAAAATAATAATGAAGAGCACTGCAAACATTCTACAGCAGCTGAAACCCAAGCTGTAGAAACACATGGGAGCTTGGGAAAGCCCAGTCTCTGCCTTAAGTCCCAGGAGAACTTCACAGTTCTTCCAGACTGAAGACCTAGCCATGTCCCTGTCCCAATCCCTCATTCTAGGAAGTGCCTCCTGGAGTCTGTGCAGACCCCCATACTGTCCCCAAAGCTCTCTAAGGGTGTGAAAAGACCAAGCTTCCAGGAGAAGCGAGAATTGATAGGGCAGTGTAGGACCCAGTATTAAACTTGAGAGGTATCACTGGGCACAGAGTTTGGGAGTCTTGGTGGGCAGTGTTTGCTTCCCACTTCCCATGGTCCCACCTCAGGATTTTGATGCCAGCAGTCAGGGAGCACCACTTTCTCAGTACTCTATCTTTTCTACTCAGGTCTTTATTATTTCTTCGTTTTTGTTTTATTTTGGGGGGGATTTATTTAGTTTCTCCTTTGTTTCAGTTTCTTAAGGAAATTGGCTTCAAGTCTTTTTTCAAAGTATTGGCAATACAACTATAAAATTACCTCTAAGCCCTGTTTTATCTGCATCCCTTTAGTCTTTGGTATTGGTACATTGTGTTTTTATTTGCATTTATCTCAAAATGTTTTCACATGTGATTTCTGTGATCTACTGCTCTTTGAGAGTAAGTTTATCCATATTTGTCAACCTCTCAAATATTTTATTGTTACTGATTATGAATGTAAATCTATTGTGGTTAGAGATCAGATTTGGTATAATTTCAGTCTTCTTAAATTTACTGAAGTTTTTTTTGTTTTTTGCTTTTTAAGAGAGATTTTTGCTGTAAGGTGTGTGCACTCAGAGAGACAAAGAGAGAAAGGAAATGAGAAAGTTGTCTGGGGAGATGGCCATGCTGCAATCGACTCCTAGGATTTTGGGCATGTATGCCCATATGACTGGTGTGAATTTCAGGTGGTCAACTATGTGGAAGTCTAGTACCTTAACTATACATTACCTGATATTGAAGCTGTTTTATGACCTAGCAAGTTACCTTTTTTGGAGAATGGTTTCTGTGCAATTTTATACCTATTTTATTTTAGGAAGTGATATAGAAATATATTTAAATATATAATGTGTGTTATATATTATGTATTATATATTATCTATCTTGCGCGCACGTGCACACGCGCGCACACACACACACACACACTTGTTACCAGGTTGTTTTAAAGGTTTTTTTATTCAAGTCTTCCATATTCTTTCCTGTCTTTTGCATAGTTCTGTTCATTATTGAAAGTTGAATATAGATGTCTCCAAATATTAATGTAGGAAAGTATGCTTTTTCCTTAGCTTTAGTTATTTTTTTTTGTTTAATCTTGGGCTTTTTTGCTAGATGCATGTTATCTCTAATTGTCATCATGTTTGGATTGACCCTTTTATCTTTTTTTTTTAAGAATTATTTTCTTTAACTTTATTTTTTATTATTATTTTAATATCTCCAGAGAGACACAAACAGAAAGAGAAAGAGAGAGAGACAGAGAGGGAAAGTAAGAGAGCAAACCTCTAGGTCTGGAACTGGATTCATGGTCAGCCATGTGAGAGTCCAATGCCCTTAACCACCACGCCACCTGCTTGCCCCATGACCTTTTTATTTTTGTAAAATGCCCCTCTTTATTTGTAGTAGCAATTTTATTTCATTACAGTTTTAATAAAAGTATGATTTTATGATGATAAAGGATTATGATGGCCAGCTAATGTCACACTCTTCTGTTTCTCTTTACATTTATTTTTCATTTTTTAATTATTGGACTGTTTGTATCTTTGAAATTAAAGAGTATATGTTTTCTTGAATCCAGTGTGACAGTTTGTACCTTTTGATTATATTATTTAATTGATGAACGTTTAATATAATTCAGGTAGTTGGATTTACATCTGTCTCTCTATTCTTAAATGCCACTTACTATAAATAAACAATTCTTATTTCCTTTTTAATTTTTTAAATTTTTTTAAAATTTTGCCAGAGGGCATGTGTGCTTATCACTGGAGAGAGACAGAGAGAGAAAGGAAACGAGAAGGTACTCGCCAAAGGGAGTAGTCATACCACAATCCCCACTCCTCCATGCCTCTCTCCTTTCAGGATTCTGGGAACAGATGTAAACACACCCGGCATGTTTCTCAATCCATTGGCTCTGAGACTTGAGCCATGGAGTCATCCTTGTGGGATCCAGCTGCCTTAACCACCAGCCAGCCATAGTCCCTCCCAACAATTCCTATTTTAGTATGAATTTATCTATGGGTTTTGTTAGATTCTGGTCCCTTTGTCTTTATCTGTTTTGTGTATGTGGTTATCATTTAATGTGGTTGGTTTCATGATATTTTATTTGTAATATTAGTTACTTTCATTGCCTTAATTCAGAAATTGTGTACCTAATTATATATGTATATGTATTTTGTGTTCTAGGTAAACCTAAGATTTTCTTGGTCTATTTTTTCATGAAAAGAAAACTTATTGGAATTTTGATGGGATATCATTATATTTATAAGTGAATTTTGGAAAAATGATTATCTTTGTAAAGGTGAGTTTTCTTAATCTGTGTATATGGTGTGTGTAATAAAATATTTCTATGTTCCTCTATAAGATTTTATTTTTTCATATATTCTACGTATTTTCTATATATTTTTTTTACATTTTATACATATTTTTACATTTTTTCTTATATTCTACATTTTTTTAAACACATGTGTAGGACCAGGTAGGTGGTGTGGTGGTGAAGGCAGCTAGCTCCATCCCACATAGCTGACTGTGAAGTTCAAACCTGGACGTGGCATTTTGAAAACCATGCCAGACTTGTGTATGCATGCTCAAAACCCCAGGAGGAGAATAAAGAAGGAATTGAGGTATTGTCATTTCCCCTAGGAGATACTTCCCCTCCCTCTCTCTCTCTCTTTCTGTGTCTCTCCAGCAAGTGCACATGCCCTATAGCAAAATTTAAACATAGCGAAAACATACATATATGTGATATATCACATGTTAATCTTGTGTAACTTATATTGTGTTTTATACTATTTGTTTTAATTGGACTTATAAGACATAGAATACGGCTAACCTCTAGAAACAACTTCCCCTATACCTTCCCATTCATCTTTTCCATAATGACCTCCTGCTTCCTCCACCTTGGTTTCAAATGTTTGGACTAATGAGCTCTTATCATAGTACATAATGTGTGTGAGTTTATCCCTTTGTTGTGTACAAGGAGATTGTAGTATTACTGTATATTATGTAATGTATATAACATATATATATAAAATGCTATCATCCATCATGTATTTTCAGTTTCCCAAAATGTGTACAACTTACACTCCAACTTTAGTTCTGAGAATTCAGTTCTGTACGTTTACTGGTACTGTTATTTTTTTTAAAAGAGATTTTTCCTGTTGGGCAGTCGCCAGAGAAACAGACAGAAAGTGAGAAATCACCCCCCAGGGGGGATGGCCACACTTCTGTCCTTTCTCCTCATTGTCTCAGGATCTTGGGCATGTACACAACACGTGCTGGGCATGAGTTTTAAGCCTCTGGGTCTAGGACTTGAACCATGGTCTACTATGTTGGAGTCCAGCAACATAGACATTGTGCCACCTGCTGGTCCCTACTGGTACTTTTTAGTTTTATTTGATGTCTTATTTTGTATTTTCCCATTTACTGAAGATATTAAGCATGTTTCATACATCTATTGAACACTTAGAAATTTCCCATCTTAAGTGTCTGTTCAAGTGTCTTGTCTACTTTTTTTTTTTATAAGATCTTTGTTTTTTTCCTAATTAAAAATGTTTATTTACTACTTGGGAGGTAGAGGTAGGAGGATCATGAGCTAGTCAGAACCTGTGTTTTAAAATAACTTTTTAAAATAAATTTGTTTGGTTAGGTGTGAGACCACTATTTCCTCCCATTCTGTCACTTCTCTTGACATGCTTTACTGTGTCATTTGACGAATAAAATTTTTATTGTGATGTGTTCCAATTTATAAATTATTTAAAATATCATTTTGCATAAAGAAATAATTTCCTCTTCTATGACAGCTACTGAGATTTGTATTATATGCTTATTTATTTATTGCCTTTGGAAATATATTATGTGGCATGAACTACATTAAGGTACAGTATTATTTTTTGCTATACAGATACAGTATTGTCTCAATAGTGTCAATACTTCCCCTCCTTTTCTCTCTCTCATTGGTAAATGTCCTTTCTTTCTGCTTCTTTTTTTTTTTAATAGATTCTTGCCTTAGGATGCATGCGTCATTAGAAAGAGACAGAGACACTGAGAAGTAAAGTGAGAAATCACCCCTGCCCCCGCCAGGGGGATGGCCATGAGGACAGTTCTCCTCCATTCTCTTCCTAGGACTTTAGGTTTGCATGCACATGTGCCCAACATGATTTTCAAGCCAGTGGGTCCAGGACTCAAACCATGGTTGTCCATGTGGTAGTCCAGTGATGTAACTGCTACTCCATATTTTGGACCCTTTCTGCTTCTTTGAAGTGGCACCTCTGTCACTAATTTCAGTAATCAAAAGCCATGAGTATTTTTAAGGGTTTCTCTCGATAGTTCAAGTGTTCCATTTATTAATCTAATTTTGAGTTCTACAATATCTGATTACTGTTACTTTATATGTATTTATGTATGTGGTTTTGAGTATATGTGTTTTAATCATACGTAACTTTTTTGTATCAGATTGACTAGGTTTTTTTGAATTTCATGTTTAAAAAGAACTAACAGTTGTCATTGCTGATTTTATGATATATTTATTTTCTATATCTTTTTTATTGGTGATTTTTATTTGCCTATTTTAAAATTTATTTTTAGTTTGCTATAGGGCGTGTGTACTTAACAGAGTGGCACAGAGTCAGAGAGGAGGTAAGAAAGTGTGAAAGCACTCCCTACAGGGATGGTCACACCACAGTCCCATTTCCTTCATTCTCCTCTTGAGATTTTGGACACATACGCACAAGTTTTCAAACTCCTGAGTCTAGGCTTGAACTTTGCAGTTGTCTCTGTGGGATCCACCACCCTAACCACCACGCCACTGGCTGGCCCCATTTTCTTTTTTTTTTTTAAAGATATTTTTGCTTTAGGACACATTTACTTCCCGGGGAGAAAGAGAGAGAGAAAGAGAGATTGAGAGAGAAACTGAGAAATCACTCCCCAAGAGTGACAGCCATGCCACAATCCCTTCTCCATTCTCCTCTTGAGATCCTGGGCGCACATGCATATGCACCCTGTGAGAATTTCAAGCACTGGGTTCAGGACTCGAATCACTATTGGCCACGTGGGAGTCCAGTGATTTAACCACTATGCCATCTGTTTGCTCCTTGACTGTCCCCATTTTCAGTATCTTTAATTTTTTACTTATAATTTTTTTCCAATTTTAACTCAAAATCCTATTTTCTAAACTATTGAACTTGGTTAGCTAGTGAGTTCTTAGTCTTTTTTATTTTACTTATTAAAATCTATATTTTTTTCTACTGAGCTTGACAATAATTTATACTGTTTTGAAGTGTAATTGACTGAAGAAACTGCGTATACTTCAGATATGTAATTTGATTTTGACATATCTACTTAACCATGAAACCACGACAATTAACATAGTGAGCATATCCATTATCTCTAAAAGTTTTGTGACCCTCTGTATTCTTTATGCTCCTCTCATCACCCTTTATTTATATAAAAAAATTTTTTTTGGAGAGATTTTCGCTATAGGGCGCGTGCACTCGCCAGACAGAGAGAGACATAGAGACAGAAAGCTAGAAATCACACCCCCGGGGGGATGGTCACACCGCAATCCCTTCTCCTCCATTCTCCTCTCGGGATCTTGGGCACGCACGCACATGTGCCCGGCGTGAGTTTTAAGCCACTGGGTCCGGGACGCGAACTGCGGTCGACTACATGGAAGTCCAGCGACATAGCCATTATGCTAACTGCTGGTTCCAATTTATATAAAATTTTTAATGTTCAAATTTTTTGTAATTTGCAGGGGGTACCCTGGAGAGACAGAGAGAAAACAAGATAGCACACCCCATGGGGAATGGTCATGATGCCGTCTCTTCTCCTCCAGCTCTTCATGGGATTTTGGGTGTGCACAAACATGCATGCACCTCATATATTTTTCAAGCTGGGTTCAGGACTTGAACTGCATGATTGGCCATGTATGATCTAGCCACCTTCACCAGCAAGCTACAGGCTGGGCCCACTGTTTATTTTATGTACTTGATTTTTATTGAGACAAACATAATAAAGAGACAAAACCCAAAAGTCTACAGGTCAATTCTCCTTCAAAACAAAAACAAAAATAAACACTCTATCAAAAAACCATGTAACTATCACTTAGTTCAAGAAATGAGACTTTAACAACACCCTAGACAAGACCTTCATATCCTCTTCAATTTTCCCAATTGGTAACTATAATTTTTTTTATCCCACTACTTTTCTTGTAATTTTCTTGTAAAATGTATTGGTGCAGTTCTGTTCAACCTAGAAGTAGAATTGCTGGTTTGAAGGGTATGCTTAAGTAGATAACTGACAAACCATTTTCCAAAGTAACTCTACTGATTTACACTGCCAACAGGAGTGTTTGTCAATTTTAATCACTATATTTTTGCCAACTCTTTCAATCTTTTGTCTTTTTAAATACTTTGTTTTTATTATTCTCGCTATTATGATGAGCTTGTGGTGGGTTTAAAATTTTAATTTTTACTTCTCTACTATTGAGTTTGTAGACATTTTCATTCATTTATTTCTCATTCTTTTGTCCCTTTTGACATGCTTCTTGAAATCTTGGCTGTGGAGAGCAGCCATTCTGAAAACATGTGATGAAAACGTGGCCTGTACACACATGCAGAAATGTGCTTTCATAAGCTACTCTAGCAGGGCCATTGAGAAGCATTTACACACGAAAGCAGTATTTGCCTGCTGTCAATGGTTATTTTTTCTGTTGTTGTTGATACTCAATACCCTTATACTGCCAGGTATCAGGCTAAAGGGAGTCACATGCATTTATTAGATTGTCCCCCAAAAAAGATCAGAGAAATTCTATGGTGCCAGTCATTTTCATATCTTCAGACGATTTACATCCCCAAACAACTGACTTTGTATTCTGATTCTTCTTCCCCTATTCTCTTTGCATTCCACTTCCTTCTTCCCCATTCCCTTTGTATCCCATTTTCCCCTCCCCCCATTTTCTGCTCTTTAAAAAAATAAACCCAAGGCTGGTTCTGGTCGCAACTTCGCCATCAGAGAAGCTGTGCCTACCCAATCCTCGCTTTTCTATACTCGCTTGTCTTTGTGTGTTTGTTATTGCATCTATTTCTAATCCACAGCCTTTCCCACTCAGAAAAAAACATGTTTATGCTGAGCTGGTCCCGGCAGTTGGCTCTCTCTTTTCTATTAAATTTTTACTGATAGATGTCTATTTGACCACAGAACATTGCTTCAAAAATAGCTGTGCAGGGCGGTCTTTGTTATTCAGCCAAATAACATGTATCAGACTTTTCTGAGACTCTCCCTCGGTGCCACATGTCTTTATACATTATTTTCACGAGGTTTGTTCACTGTACCTTCAGCAAATGCTTTGATATTATGTAGACATCACATCTTGTTCATTTTCAAGAGCATGTTGGATATTTGCACCTTTGTATTTCCATGTTTGTCTTAAAATCACCTTGTGCATTTACACAGAAAAACCTAAAAATGCTTTTTGAATTTATAATTTTTTGTATCATGTTATGCAATAAATATACACAATGTACTTATTTTCCTATATAGTTTTGTACCAAAATTTTAGGTTGCAGGATCCATAGTTTGTATGAGATTTGGGCATAAAAATGCAAAAAGTGTTCTAGTGGAAACACTAATATGCAGTCCTCAGTGGTATGTCTGTATTAATAGGAATTTAGTTAATACTGATCAAATATTATTCTATCATGTAAATTTTAGTAACAGGAAGTTTCTTTCTTTGGGGTACTGTAATTTAAATAACCATTCTTAAAATTTTAAGGCATTTTTACAGTAGCATTTTTACTAACTCAGTAGCAAATGCATATTTTTATTAGTTCAAATACAGTTTGAGTATTTTATCTCTACCAATGAATACAATTGTGGATGCTCCTTCCCACAAGGTCTTTTCAGCCCCTAAATTACTGTTCTCTTACAGGGAGGCTTTCTGTAATCTGGAGAGAGCTTTGTTTACGTAGAGGAATCTTTTCTTTTCTGAGAGTTTTTTGCTATAGGGTGCATGTGCTTGCCAGAAAGACAGAGAGAGAGAGAGGGACAGAAAGCGAGAAATCACCCCCCAGCGGGTATGGCCATGCCACAATCCCTTCTCCTCCTTTCT